GGCCTTACTCAGAACCAACTTTGCTGAGAAGTTTTGTGCTGGTTAACCTATATTATAATTGGGAAAAAAAATATTTGTTACAGGTGTCCCTCTTATTATAGAGGAATAAATATTTTGATTATTATTATTATTATTATTATTATATAATAATAATAATAATAATAATAATAACTGGATGAAATTTTGTTATATATTGAGTGTTACAGTACCTTTATTATCTCCACCGTCAATTTTTGTTCTTTTTTTATACTCTTTAATGCTTAAGTTTTCAATGACTCCAGCCCTGCAGCTGTTTTCAATTGCCAGTGATGTGATAATATAATTTCGTAAGTAGCTCTTTTGATACTCCGTTGGGGAATGCCCATCATGTATGATATCTGATTGTAAAGAAAGTTTAAATATTTGGTTATTTATCAGAAATGCTTGCTGTATTATTATAATAATGATAATAGTGATAATGGTAATAATGATAACAATGATTATGATAATAATGATGTTAATAATAATAGCAGTACATTTTTGAATAATAAAAAGTTTCCTACCACTTATTTGTTTTATTTCCGGCTTTGAAAGCGTTAAATATCTTTGCTGGTCTTCTACTGGAATCAAATCATCTGCAACAAAAACCATCAAACATTACAAGACTATCCTTATATATTAGTTTTGATTATATACATTTGAATAATAATGATAAAAATTGTCACATTTTTTTTTTATTTCGACCCATCTAATCATTTTGATGGTGAATTGTACAGCAGCTTTATAAGAAATTTGATGCTCATTTCATGTTATAAAAATGACTACCGTATCGTACATACCAGTAATCTCCTCTCTCTTCTTCATTTTTTCGCCTTGTACTTTCCTTGTAAGAGACATGGAAAGTACTCGCAGCACAGTTGCAGCCCTGTGCAAGTCTGGACTGCTTACTTTATATTTGTTTTTGTAAATTGACAAATAATCAATAAATTTCTTGTATGAACAAAGGTAGTGCCTAACAGTTCTAGCACTTCTCTTCTTTTGAAGAACTGTTGCTGCCCTAAAAAGGAGATAAATTAATTTTATATTTTCGTTAAAAAATCCTTATTTATAGGCGAGTCAACAAATCAAGTTCAAAAGGACATTTATTCAATAATCGCCCTCTGCATTTGTAATCATTTGGCTTGTATTTCTTTTATCTCATGTCAATTTTTAAACATTCTTTCTTATGCCTAGTCTCATCTCTTAAAATTTACCATGCTTCCACCCCTGAGGTTTTGCATATTGTAAATAGAGTACGTGTAGTAATATTGGTTACAGTGTACATACAGTAGATTTACGGAGTGTTAGGAAGCAAAAAAAATAATGGATTTCAAATATATACTAATGTAATTGAAAAATCATTTTTAAGTAATAAATGAATACTAACGTCATCAATCCCTCGACATCAATCAGTTTTGCTGCAGGGGTATTTACTGTCTTCCCTGCAGAGTCATTTTGATTTCTGCGACTACCTGCTTTGCGGCCTTGTTGTTGAGTTGTAGTGTTTCCACAAGATATTTATGGACACTCTCTATAATGGTTAGTTCTGCAAAAAGTGATAATAATGTCATTTTGTATTAAATACATATTAAGTTTATAAAAAAATTGAAACCCATTTTTTGTGAAAATATCGCTTAAGATATATTTTCTTGAATATCAAATTGATCCGGCGTACAACAAGAATCATTTTGTCACGACAGCTCACATTTAGCCTTCTAGATTAGAGTATGGAATCCCCCATAAAGGTATAAACAAAAATGATACCGTGCACCATTAAAAGGTGATGATCCGTGACATATCCAGGATTGCCTTTCGGGCAGTCACTTGGATCCCAGCTTCGATTTTTCATTGCTCTGGCTACTTAAATGGCTTAATAAAAGCTAGTTAAAATGTAAAGATTTAAGATTGCAATCTTTATAAACATGAAATAATAAACTTTACATTCAGAACTGTCATAAAAATGGAGCCTTGATCTAAACCAAATAACGGGATACTGGTCAATAATAAAAAGAAATATAAAAGTGATAAGATTCCTTATGATAATTTAACAAAAGTAAATAGGAACCTTACTCTTTAGGTGAATAGACCTAGATTGTTCTTTTTTTCTCAACGCTTGCCGGTATTCCTCTGTATCAAGCTGTGACAAAAAATATTAACGGTTGTAAAAGGACATATAGGCCTATTTCTGGTTTATAGAACAAGTTCAATTATTGAGTTGATGAAAAAAACGTGCCTTGCACTTCCCCCCTCCCTCGATTTCATACGCTGGCACTGCCACTGTTTGTGATTTATACCACATTTCCCACATACCGATATGCAAAAAGGCATACTTTTGAGAAAACGGTGTGTCACATAAAAGCTCTTAACCGTACTTTACCTTAAATTCATGCATTTTTTTGAGGTGGATATCAATTCGAGCAAAGGCTTGGCCTCCACAACCCTCTATTTTACAGTCCTTAATGCGTTTGTTCTTTGGCAAAGTCCTTTAAACATAAAATATATAATATAAATTTAAACATATTTTTAATGTAATAATCACTGACTGCTATCTTCTAATTAGGCGTCATGTCCAAACTATTCAAAACGACAAACACGCGATAAACGCGATTGGAATCGTCTTACCGTTTCTAGCGTTAAACGTCCGCGACAAAGCTCATTAACTTAGCTCATTGCATATTCATAAGCTGAGTACGCCCCCTCAAAGCGAGGCTGTTGTCGATTAGAGAAATGCGTTTAACGCCGATCTCGCGATGTTATGATTCATTCATTTTGTTGTGTAAAGTTTCTTTATTACTAACATTTTATAGCTTTTTACAGGAAACAGTACAATTGTTAGCTTGGCCTGAGTAAGTTTTAGCAGGGAAAAGTGAAATTGGTTATAGTAAAGTTCTACCGATAAAAGTAACGTACGGTAGCTAGCCTAGCGTAGTCTAGCTAGGCCTAGGTTAGCCTAGATGGTACCGAGTCCCATACTAGGGGCTAGGCCTAGTTAATTGTCGGAAACATTTCAGGCCTAGGTATAGGCCATGCCTAGAAACAATAAAGCAATATTTCAAATAATAAATTTATTTAATTGATAATAAGCTCTATCTTACCAGTAATGTATCTGTTAATATGGTACTGTAGCAGTAGGCATACGCAGGCCCTGTGCAGTGCCAGTGGTAGCTTGGCAACAATGAACATACATTCAGCATACCTAACTACGGACAGCTACACTGACTGTGTTGTTTTTATGCGTACCCAAAATGCTATAAGATTAAGAAAGGCTGGTTTTGCCCGGCAACTACGTCGAATTGGCTTATTTAAATCAAGTGAAACAGCAAACTTTGACACTGGATGGAAGTGTGATTTTTTTGTTCAGGCTATAGAGTAAAAAAAAAATCTTGTTGAACTATTATGTTTTACATTATAATAAATATGCTAGACAGACGTGTGTGTTATGAATATCGTGATCGTAAATGGTCAAGGTTTGCAATTTATAAAATAATGGTGATGAATGAGCCAGCACTTGTCCTGTATGTTGTTTGTAAATATAACAGCACGGGTGACCGGACATCACGCTTTGCTTCTACGGTCAGCCCCACCAATTTTTAGTTTCTGTAATTACAAGAATGTTTTTTAGTGAAATAAAGTGAACCTTGAACTTCGATATGACCGGGATTACTGTTCTCTGGGAACGCAGACTGAAATGCCAAGTGTCCATGTGCTCGCTGTACCATAGAGCACGTGACGCCCAGTGCGGTAACGACAGAAGATAGTTTGGAGCTCTATAATGAGTTTTGCTCAACCGCGCGTGAAAGTAAAAAACAACCACTATGTTAAATCACAGACCGTATAGGGTCTGTGGTTAAATATAAGCCTATGTGTGATTTGATGATTTAACATAGTTTTGTATTAAACGCGGTGTGAATAGAAACGCAGTAGCATTCATTGGAATATTCTGAATTTATTTAATGTAAGGTAATTAGGCCTATTAAAAGATTAATACTGTTGTTTTAGGTTTGCGTCTTGATGCAATACTATACCATGATCGATGGTGTCTCATATTTTATCATAGGCCTATATTGGCTAGCAAAAAATACAACACGGTGTTTCAATTAATACTGTGGTTTTAGGTATTGCGTCTTGATGCAACATGGTGTCTCATTTTATCATAGGCCTATTATAGATTGACTCGCAAAAAAATACAACACACTGTTTCAATTACTATGATTTATTCAGATAAATCGTCATCACAGCAATAAACCACACAATCTGTCAGTACAATATTCAACAATTCTGTGTCATCAACATTATGCACAGTAACAATTAGAGTTTTAATCTTTTTAGGTAAATGAACTAAACATTAAAAATTGAAAATCAACAAAAAAATATATAAATGAAATTTATTTCATTTACAAACATTTTAATGAACTAAACATTAAAAATTGAAAATCAACAAAAAAATATATAAATGAAATTTATTTCATTTACAAACATTTTAATTTATAATTGTGAACAGTCTCACAAACGTGAACAAAACTATATAGTATAGTAATGTAATACAATTTTAAACAATTGATTTCTGTCCTGGGTAATATTTTTTATGATGTGAAATTACTTCGGACTTGCTACAAAATGAATATGCAGGACAGATAAGGCACCTCCCTAAATGAGACAATGGCATTGCGTTGTCCTTCGTGTCCCATTCATTAAATGTTAACACATCATGTATTGTATAAAAATGCTCCCCGCTATCATCAAGCATCGGTGATGGAAACCCCCTTTTCGATCGTATCATGTTTAGTGTTTCTGTGGCTACCACAGGATATGACGTACAATGAAAGCAATTGTCGTCGCTGCATTTCATAAATGCAAGGAAACCCTTTCTCTTGTCTATGTGGGACAACATGAATTCAACTTCCTCAACGAGGTCACTATCTCAAAATTTCTTTCCACTGTTGCATGACATTATATTATAAGCATGTTCATAATCATTGTATGGAACTTCTTCTTTACTAGAAGAAATATATGACGTTGAAACGGGAATACCGCCAAATCTTACATTACCCCAGTATTTGCATAGATTCGACATTGCAGCGTCGTACACACTGTCTTCTTTTACGCGCAATTCATCGTCAGTTAAATTCTGTTCCCACGGTGACATTTCTTCGCCTGTTAGTCTATCCGGCAGTGTAACTGAGGTTAAAGCTTGTGTACATGGGCCCCAGACGTGCTCAATGGGGTTCAATGCTGATTGTCCTGGTGCATAGGCGGTTATCATGAGTAAATCTACATGCGAATCCCTAAAAAGCCTACTATAATACAAAAGATTTGTCTGGTGCCCGGTGTGAAAATCACAACCCCCGTCTGCAACTATTGATACAATTGATTTGCCGTTGCGCATGTCATCTTGAAGTAGTGGCAACATGTCATTAACATGTGATGCGACATTACATTTCGTTTTTGGACCTCTGTTTATAATGTGCACTGGTCCGCTACGCTGAACAACGAGTTCAGGCCTGCCGTTGTCATCTGAAGACATTCGAGGTGGATCATGAAGTGTGAGGCGCATATAACCACATGGCGTTATTAGGTTTCCACTCCGACTTGGAAAGTCATGATCTAAATAGATAGGCTTATCTGCCACTGGAAACAACTTGTGAATCTTCACTCTTCTGTCAGTGGCAAGAACATCTGTTCCTGTGGTGACAAAGAAAGTGTGTAGGCTTTAGTCACTAAAATATTCACAAATTGATCGAACTGGATAACCCTCCCAAAGGAAAAAAAACCTGCCCAATATTCAGGGACGGATCAAGAATTTGTTCAGACGGCGGGCACAACATAAATGAGTAGCGCTAATTTCAATACATAGGCTAACATTGATATGTACTGTATTGAAATTTTAAAATTTAGTCGTTTCAAGCACCTTTGATGCCAGTAACGTAAGTTACGTCATTTTGGTGACACATTTATTTGCAGAATCCTTGAAAATATAATCAGGTCCGACTCAATTGTTTTTTACATACGTATTATAACCTTATGGATGCTCCTGAATTTACAATAATTACCCCATGAACGTGTATGTGTTTGCACAATCAAATCATATATTGGTGTCACCAAGGACAATGATTTCAGAAATGAAACTTGGCAAAACTAAAGAATATCATTTCTTGTACTGGCCTAATGATATAAAACACAAATTGATAAATTGCTTAAAAAAAATAATAATAGGAGACATGGTTTTTTGATATTTTAGCCGATTTACTGAGCCTGAGCCATAAATGAGTATTAGGATATTTATTAGTCATTCAATGAATCGAATTTAGTGAAACATACAATGCAGTCTTACCGATTGTAATTTTATTCTTGTTATCTACTGAATAAACGGCACAATTTGTTGGATGAGCTGCGCTGAATTGCATGCAATATTTTACCCTTGCACTGCAGAAATGTCCGTTGTCATTCGGCTTCATTCGACTGTTGTCTTTTCTGGGGACTCTTGCATCAATATACCTTTGTATCTAGATGCATTTTTTCTGCCTTCGTGCGGGCACTTTAGCAACCGATGTACAGTGTTGACGCCTGGAAGAGAAATCAGAAAAAAAAAACAGTTAGCATTATTAAAAACGATCAAATCACGACGAAGTTCATTATTTGTACTTCTTAAATATCACCCTAATTATCTCTATCATTTTCATTATTAATATCAATATCATAAAAAGATAAATGGCTCAAAATCGTTATCTAATAGATTATAGGTTAACTTACTAAAATGTGGATGTTCTTCCTCCAATCTGTCAACCTCACTTAAAATATGCGATTGGAGTTGCCTTAGACTGGTTCCGCAATTACCAGTTGAGTTGTGTCGTCGACTATGCGCCTCAAATCCATTCTGTCGATGAAGTTCTTTGCGATGGGAATAATATCAGGGAATTGAGATACAATCGATGGTCTTGCACATTTTGCTTTAGAGTTGTTTTGCGATTCAGCGATACGTTTGTGACGTCCACGTAAATAGTTACCCCCAGATAACTTTGGCTTAGCGTTTAACATGTTGGAAACTTCAAGAGTACAGTATTAAATAATTCGTTGCAATCAACTTTCGATGAGTAATGCTTGTACAGTATTTGAATCTTACATTATAATCAGGGGCGGATCCAGAAATGTCCAAAAGGGGGGAGCCGAAAGTTGGGCCGATTGAGACAACACTGTCGTAGGGGGTCTGGGGGCATGCCCCCGCGAAATTTTTGTGTTCTAGACGCCCGAACATAACATTTGAGGCATTCTTGGCCATCATTTTTTTCTTTTTCTCTTTTTTCCCCCTTTTTTTTTCTTTTTTTACCTCCAAAAAGGGGGGGCCGGGCCGGCCCCCCCCCTAAATCCGCCCCTGATAATGGGCTGTTTAGCTACTGAAATCAATACGTAGCCTATTCATTACGATGGGCCGGGTCGCCTATGATTGTTTATTATAAATAAAGCGGTAGAGGAGGAAAGACTAGGTGTTCTACTGTATTTGGTATAGTGCTATCACGCCTATGTACTCAAGTAGCTCAGAGTGTGAAGACATTTTTAGTATAAATTCAGAAAAGGGGTATTAAAATATATTATAATGCAGAAATATTGGTAATAATAATAATAATAATTAAAGCAAATGAAATAGGCTATGTCCGTTGATACACTATTCCCGATACGGTGTTTACATCCTGGTTTCTTTTTTCGATTATGAATGAAATTTGACCAAATTTAAAACGATACAAAATAAATATGCAAAGAAATAAAGTCAAGGTTGGTTTAAATACGAAGTAACACATGCAGTAGGCCTATACCGATGTTTACTCTAAGGATTCAGGAAAGAAAAATCTGATTTGATGTGAAGTTGCTAAAAAGGTTTCAAATTATAGGCTTAAAGTTAGATGATTTTTTCTTATTTTGAGACTGCTGTAGTTTTTGTGATACAATGAAGAAAATTAAGTTAAGTGTCCCTTTAATAGGGGTTACGGTACTGTATTTGGTATAGTCTATTTTTAAACATTTAAAAAAAATAGGCCTATTACGTTTGTAGGCCTACGGTATATGACACCTTTATTTTATGATTTTGATTAATAGTAGGCCGGTCATTATAATGAAACTATTTATTTATAGCTAGGCTACATTTATATAAAACATGGTTAAAACAATAAATAGTTTTTTTTTGGTCAAGGATAATATCCATTGTAACTGAATTACGTAAGAAGGAAGCGCATATCACGCTAACGTTTGAATGAAATTTGATCAAATTTAAAATGATACAAAATAAATATGCAAAGAAAGACATGATTGGTTTATAGGAAGTAACACATAGGCCTATTATACCGATGTTCATTCTAAGGATTGAATGAAATTGTCTTACTTTGAGACTGCTGTACAGTAGTTTTTGTGATACTATGAACAAAAATTATGTTACAGTCCAGATCATTTCGTTTTAGTATAACGTGTATAATTAACGTTGAAACCTTTCGTATTTTTAACACACAGTAGGCTATTTATCTGTAATCATTTCTAGCGTAGGCTAATTAAAAATTTACACAAATGTATTCGGCAAATAATGTCGAACATAATATTATATGTGTTAAATCCATCATTAAATATTTTTCTTTCCTAATTTCTGAAATATTTATTCGTTTAACATTCTAAAAAAAAAAATGTAATCATTCATACTAAATTTAATAGTTTATTCATCTCGGGCGTATTTAGACTCACTTTTTAAGGCGTTAGGCGTTCATTCAATTCAACAAACTTGCGTGCTATTGTGTATGTGGAAACATCAACACACTGGATACGCCTATATAGGGCCTACGCCTTTCTGTATAAACAATATAGTAGCGTCTAAACAGAAACCGTAGAATTAAAACTTTCGCTATTGTTTGTTAAAACTACTACAGTGGTACTATATTATAATTAAAGTAACCAATCAGCAGATTATGATCTCAAATCTCGAAACATAAATGGCTGCTCTTAGGTGTAGGTTATCACCGGTGTGACTGAACGCTCTATAAATATAAGACCCTTGTACAAACCAAGTTACAGTTCACTTCTAAATGACAATAATAACAGTACTGCGAATCTATCTGAAATTAAGAATTAAATTATGGCGTATTTCCTTGTAAAATGGCTGGAGCCGAAGAAAGACAAGGGTTGCATATCTCACGTACTCAGAAGTGAGATTGACTCGAACGATCATATCGAAGTTGGTATGACAGTGAAGGCAAAGTATATTCGCCGTTACTACAAAGCAGAAATCATTGAAGGTAAGTCGTTATCATAGTTCATTCGAATGTCATTCGTTTCGGCCGATGTATTGTTTTTACCTATACATTTAAATAATTTCATTTATTTATATACAATAATAAAAAAACAATTTGAATACAATTTTTTAGTCATTTTCGTAAGTTATTATTAGCTATTGACATACATTATTTCTTTATCCCAACTCAGTTTGTGAAGAAGAGGAATCAGATGGAGAGGAGAACGAAAGTGAAGGAGTAGTTGAGGAGCAGAAGGAAGAAGGGAAGGCAACAGTTGATGAAGTGAATGATGTTGAAGATGCCGAGGAAGAGGAATTTGAACAGAAGGAAGCGGAGAAGGAAGCGGGGAAGGCAACAGATGTAGTGAATGATGTTGGAGATGTCGTTGAAGAGGAAGTTGAGGAGCAGAATATCATGGGTGAAGAGGAAGCAGAAATTGAAGAGTACGAAGTCCAGCCGAAGAGAAGAAGAGTGGATGACTTCAACATTTTCGACTTCTCTGATAGTGAACTAACGTTTTCGGATGGGCTGTGCAGCCACAGTTGTAAGTGATGATATTATTTATTTTTAATTATTTATTCAGGTATACGATAAAATACAAAAAGCAGAACAAGTCTGAAATTATTGTAGTACAAAAATTCAAGAAAACGAATTAATATCAAAAATTAGAAAAATACAATTCATTAACCTTATAAAATACAAATTAATTAAATTTAAAAAAAAAATATTCATATTGTATAAAATACAATAATCTAAATATATGTTATATATATATAGGCCTAAATTAAGAATCGGTATATCAATGCCTTTAAACCGTCTTGCGATAATGTGTGACATATTTAATCAAACAAGTAGGCCTATCTTTATTCAGTTGTAAACGATTTATTATCATAGACCACCACTTCAATACTCTCAATATATGTACAGTATAAAAATGTAGTTAAGTTAATTATTATTTTAACAAAACAAGTGCAAGTACAAGTGCTCTTTCAGATTAGATGTACATACAAAAAAGTTGTTATAGATTTGGCTTAGTGCCAAATGACGATGAAACTTTAACGCTTTCCTGAACTCACCAACCACATACATTATAATTGATTTGCGTTATTATTTTATTTATTCCAGCTCCAAAACCAGACAACACAATGAAACACCTGCTGGAAGGCTTGACAAGTTTGTTAGAAAGATCGTCGACAGTGCAACATAGAGAAAGCGGTAAGTTGGCATCGCTTTGTTTTAACATGTTTGTCTGTGGAGTTTTTGTACAGAATGGAATATATTCATATTGTAATGTAAATTTGTTGGTAAAGGCAAAACTTTTTTACTGTTTTTTGCCCATAGATGTACATTTTTAGAGGTTTTTGCAGGCCGGTGCGAAATGACTTGTTCTAATATAAAGCCCTGTAATATGCATAACAGGGTACCTTATTGAAAATTAGCCCCAGGAATTGGTTTACGAATGCTGTAGCAATAACAACTGTGTTTGTTTTAGTTAAAAAGAAAAATTTGTTAAAGATAATAACACTGTACAGTCTTTTACATGAGATTTTTATATTTTATACATCCATTATAGCTATCAAGGAGAATGCAACAATCCAAGCATTATTGCAACGAGTGGATGCTCTGGAGAGAGAGGTGAGGATGTTAAAGAGCTGCAGCAGACCACCCGCTTCTTCACTGATGTCCAATACCAGCACACACCCACTTCCTCCTGACGACGATGGGGTGTATTTGTTGGGGGGAGTGGTGCCCGTCAGCAATCGGGCTTATCGAAAGTGTAGGAGTGGGACCAACAAAGCCTCCAGTTTATCTAGGAGCCTGTTAGAGCTGTTATTTACAAACGAGGAGCTCGTGAATTGTACGCTAAGTGGTACGCGCAGCAACAAAACCGACAGACAACCACTATCACCAAAGAGAATGGATGCTATATTTGAGGAAGTAGACCTAGTGTTCCCGGGCTCTAGAATTTCCGAAGAAAGGTCTATTCGCGAAGCGATAAATGGCAAATGCCGGTATTTGAGATTTACCAAAAAACGAGATACTTAAATGCTCTTGTCACCGCATATATTATAAAGCGTATTATTTATTCATTATTTATGCATATTTTCGTAAATTATACGGCCAATTCTATGTACCTGTAATTTTAAAGTTAATATCTTGTTTAACTAACGATCGATTATTTCTCATTGATTGTAAATATTATTTTAAATAGTTCGTTTTTGTGCAGTTTGAGATATAATTCAAAAATAAAACGTGAACTTTATTTGAATTTTAATTGGTAGATTCTGTTATTATTATTAGTGGTCTCTGTTCTTGTGTGGTTCCTGTTTGTCAAGCTAAAAGCTGATTAGAATATGAGTATAGTGACTCCGAAGAATGACAATCATGAGGCCATAATTGATTCTACGTTTCGTTCATTATTAGAACATTGTCAATTGAGGCAACCAGCCTGCTCCCACCCTTTACCAGTAGGAAAGCCACTGGAAAAATCGTGTCAAATTTCGCCTAGGAGAGGGCGCCCTATTTTTCAAAATTTGGTGGTGTTTGAAAAAACGTTAACTTATCAAACAACTTACTTAACAAAACAAAAATAATGGTGAAATATGTTTATAAATAGTTCAACAATACAGTGAAATACTTTTGGTGTATTTTGACCAAAACGATAAAGTGTAATTTAATGGACAATTCGTGGTACACAATTTTTACGATTTTGTGCCCTAGAAAATCGTTAATTTAAAATACAAAAAAAATTTGATCAGAAATGAATTCAAAATCTCTGCTATAAGAATTTATAATCTATAATATAGGATATTAAGATAACAAATTGAGTAGCTGGGACGCAAATCCGACTCTGGAAACTAAGGGTACCTCCATTTCGTTGGACTCAAACAGTAGCGTGTACTCCATTTTGGAAACATCGGCGATCATAATCAGGAAGATCGTATTTATACAGAGCATTTCCAAGACCGTCTGTTACACCAATAATTAATGTGTAAAATAAATATATACTATCAAAATGAATATTATTACATATTTAGTGTTCCAACTTAGTAATTTATGGATAATATTTCTGTTGGTTTCTATTACGATTCGTATGCGAGGCTGAGGCCTAGGCCGCGCACATTGGGGGGGCTTAGCATATTCGCGTACCCGTAAATATTCAGCGAGGATAATGCCTATTTAAAAATGGCTCCAATCTTTCTGAAATCTGTGTCTTGTTGGCTTGATGACAAGTGTAGGCCTACATGAACTAATTACCATCCTTCACAAGTTCATCATTCACAATTTCCCTCAATATATGTGATTTTTAGGACTTACTGTATAAAGGAGAACAAGACAACATTTTTATTTTTATTTTTATTAAATCATTTTCCTTCTCTATGATTTGTAATAATAATAATCATTTCATACACCTGCTTCTAAATATTAATATGAAATATAAAAACATACATATGATTATGATATGGAATATACCACACCCCTTCCCCCATCTTCTTAAGAAAACTCCTTCAGGGGATTTATGGTACATTTCCATGAGAGAGACTTTAATATAGGCTGGAACTTGTTACTTTAGAAGTGGGGTAGCAACATTTCATGCAGGTATTACAAAATCTGCTTCATTAATATTCATTACGGTCTTTGAATAAGCATCAAACATCATTATTTTGCTTATTAAATATCATGTTATAAATAAATTTAATGATCATGCTTTCATAATGTAAACATTAAAAAGCAAAGTCAATATTAATTACTGATATTGATTTAAAATAGTGCTGCCTAGTGTTTTTCATCATGTTTTTTCCCCTTAGGCAGGCTTTCTGAGGGATTTGAGTCATTCTAAATGAGTTCAGTGGTTATAAATCCTTGTCACCATTTAAAAATTCACTTTCATAACTGACATTGTTGGTCTGCAACCGTCCAAATCTGAATATATTTACAGTTCATTTACAATTTCATGTCACTAAAATAAAATATATTTGCAGATTACAATAATTAATACTACTAGAATACAATGTATCAAAAGATATGCTTTGGTATTATTTTTTACTAATTAAATATTTCTCACTCAAAGTCATATGCCTGAAAATATTATTTTGTGAAACATCCCTCCTAGGCCCTAACATAAATTAATGGCAATAAACATGAATCCCTAGGCCTGCTGTAATTTTAGAATAATTATTATATAGAAATATGTGCAAGGTTTATAAACCATCCTAAACTAACACACATGGAATGCATTTGCATTCAGACGCTATAATACAATGGATCGCACCGCAATGCAGCCCGCCGTAGTGCTACAGTTCTTGCTCAGCTACCACTACTGCGTGCTCACATGTTAAAAAAACTGCCTAGCATTTTACGGCCTAGAAGTATAAATAACAATTTTTGATCAGAGTTGAAACAAGTCTTACCCGACTAAATTAAGATTAAACATGATAAATCAACACTTCAAAAAAATATTTATTAGCTGGGACGCAAATCCGACTCTGGAGAAAATTGTAAATAAATTCATAGACAAGTCGTACCAGATTTTCACTATTTCGCCTATGTCAACATCAACCAGTGAATGCTTACGCCAGCGTAGGTTTTTTCGAGAAAACCCAATTGGTTAGCAAACTAGACATATTAGGAAATATTGTTACCATATAAGGAAGCCATGGGCGGGCCTTATCTATTAATGAGAACTATAAATAGAGCTGATGTATTTTTGCTAAGTGACGCTAAAACGTGGTTACGCTTTGAAACGATAGGTGGCGCTGCGCAAAGCAAATGCGGAAGTAAGATCGAAAAATCGTGATATAACGGACAAATCTCCTATTGGCTGTCCTACTGTTACAATTTCATACAAATACACTTCCCAGATTTATAAAACGGATCAAATATCATGTGATGCATGTTACAGTAATGCATCACATTAAAATATAATATTAATAATATTATTATATTAATATTAATATATATTAATAATATATATAAATATATAATATTAATATACAATATTAATGTAATGTATGGTGATGCTTTTTAAAAATGTGTTCAAATATTAAAATACTAAAAAAAAATATTTGGCTAGTGTGTGTATGTGTATTTCCCTAATGAGTTTCAGCATGGACAAAGTGAATATAAATCTAAAACTGAAATAATTTATTAATGTGTAAATATAGATGGCAAAATGTATGTGAATGTATTAATGTGTAGGCCTACATTGTATGAAGTAAGTAAAAAAGTAAGATAGGGAAAAGTAACTAAGTAATGTAGATAATGGATTGTGTGTTAAGTGGAAAATATTGAAATTGTTAACCACTAGATAGGCTCTTTTCAATGTTTCTATTTCTGTTTCCACTTATTGTGGAGCAGGAAATCTTGTTATTAATAGTACGTTAACATTACTAACCTTCTTTTTGATTGTCCTAGTTGGCTTCTTAGAACAGTTTGATTTTTAATTTTATGAACTCGGCGCAAATGTTGGGCCAGGTATCTTGTTTTCTTTTTACAAAGCAGGCATGTCCGAGGTCGTCTTTTAAACTAAAATATGAAATGAAAATTTTTCAAAAAAATGTGGAAAGATGTAGCTGAAGGATAAGATGCTTGGTATGCAGTCTCAGGGTGGTGTACTTGGTTCAATTCCTGCTGACATTTTTGTTGTTATTATTTATATAACAACTACAGGTAGTATCTCTCTAAGCTTTGTTTTCAAAATAAAACTTGGTTTATAAGCATCACGTTATTTCACTTATTAAATAAGGTAGTGCCCCTTAACATCAGCTATTTAGATGAAGAAACGACATATGGTTTTAAAGAGAGTTTACATGTATTCATTTTGCACCATGTAATCAAACATTAGTTTTCAGTGTAGCATGAAATATAATTTCTTACTTTCTGTCCTTTCCCCAGCTCCTGTTGACATCTGAAAAAAGGGAATTTTAAATAATTTCTACAATAAAAACATATTAATTATTAATCATTAGAAATACAAACGACATTTAAATTATTTTTTTAAGCTTATTTTGAAATATTCTACCCCATTGCACTCATAAACATTCATTAGTTGTATACTATAGAATGCCAGAATAAACCTGTACCTTTCTTCGTAATCTCTTCATCACTACCTCCTTCCTCATTTTCTTCACTTTCCTTTTCACTTAAATTTTAAGAAAAGAAATTCAAAATTACAGCTATTAAGGACATTTAAACTTTTAAACACAAGCTTTTTATATTTTCTTTATTTTAACGTAACTGCCTTTATTTGTAGCAGAGATATTAAGAGTTATATTTCACATATTAACCAAAGTTGTTTATCACTATATATACTGTAATCTGTTAAGAAATACAATGAATTGTATGTTGATTAAATTATAAAATTATTGATGGCTAAATAAACCAGTACCTTTCCTCATAATTATGTTCCTCACTTCCTTCATTCTCATCACTTTCAATTTCACTTAAATAAAAAAAAATCCGTATAACGTTATAATTTACAGCTATTCAGTTATGAAAATTCTAGAGCCATTTTATCCAATCATTGTTTAATGGTAACTGATTTGTAAGGCTATACTTATTTATACCTTGTTTCAGGAACAAATATTTAAAAAAAATCGTCCAAGCAGGGCGGAAAATAATAAAAATAAAATTTTGTTTTCTAATTTTGCAAATACTTTAAAAAAAAAAAAAAAAAAAACATTTTTACAGATAAAAAATAAAATGTGATTGGTGAATTAATACAGTGTAGTAATGGAATTTTAAATGTTTTTTTTTTAAAATTTATATAATTGAAGAAGAAATATACATAATTTATTTTTTGAGATTTCAAGCCAGAGGTAGGTGTAATACGATTTTTTCGTGGTGGCAGGTGAGCTAATTGGCAATGAATATAATTTTATTTTTAATTAAAATTAATTGCGGGCGGCGGTTCACTAAACAATGTATACACAGTGACTACCACCAGATTAACCGACTGAGCTATCCTAAGCTGTTCTTTTGAAGTTATGCATCACATAATAACCAATATTAATGCTATAAAGCGTTAATGAATGAATTAATTAATTACCTTTCTTCATTCACTTCATCACTTTTTTCTCCAGTCTCTTCCTTTTCTTCACTTTCATTATCACTTAAAAGGGAAAAAAATAAATCATAAACTAGTAGTAATAATTTCGTAATGTGTATCTTGCATCACTTCGAATATCATTCAGCCAATATCCATATTAGTTTCCATATCACATTTAAAAAAGAAATGCTTCCCGTCCCCGGATTCGGTTTACAACCACAAAGAACTAATATTAGTGTTATAAAACCTGAATGAATGAATGAATTACCTTTCTTCATTTACTTCATCACTTTCTCCATCAGTTTCTTCCTTTTCTTCACTTTCATAATCACTTAAAATGGATAAAAAAAATCATAAACTGGTAGGCCTAATAATTTCGTAAGTGTGCATCTTGCATCACTCCGAATATCTTTAAGACAATATCCATATTAGTTTCCATATCTATTAAAAAATGTTCCCCCAACCCCCAAGTTTTACTAGATTGGATAGATAATGATAAGCCGTCATTTTTTTAATTTGTCAGGTCGTTCTTCTCTATATGATGCCGGGAGCCGCCACTTTCAGAACTTATGAAGGTAGTCTTCCTTATTAAAAACAATAAATAATCTGTAAGCATGCAATCATGAATGAAGATAATTTGGTATGTGGATTACTATTAGACAACAAATGGAAAATTACCTGGAGTACAGTGGCTCACTGTCGTAATTGTACGTCTATGAGAAATTATAATACAAAGATTATTATATCACTACACAGTATTTTCAACATAAGAGCATGTTCATGAGTTAGTAAAAATACAGTCTACTGGATACCAGTTTGTAGTACCATTAATCGCAATTATTAGGCATACTTAAAACTTGTGAGCAAATATGGCCTTTATTATTACTTCCCTTTTCCCAAAAGATAATTACAAATATGCGTCGCAAAACCATATTTTCATCAAATAGATGTTTTTTTTAATGTTTGTTAGGCACGATGAAATAACCTTAAACACACACTATTCCATTTAAAGTTTGAAGTTTTTCATAACAGTACTCGAGTTATGGCGAAAATAAGTAAAACATTTGCACTAAGTGCTCAACTCGGCAAGATAAACACTTTTGTTCAAAAAGTCACAACTTTAAAAATTGATTCCAAATGTAATTTTTTTTAGTTTACACGGTGAGATAGCCATAAACACACACTATTCCATTGAAAGTTTGAATTTTTTCGGAACAGTACTCGAAACACGGCAGAAAATCAAGAATTTGCACCAAGTTCTCAACTCGGCAAGATAAGCGCTTTTGTTCAAAAAGTGACAATATCAAAAAGTTGAGTCAAAATGTAATTTTTTTATCTTAGGCACGATGAAATATCCTCAAACACACACTATTCCATTGAAAGCTTGAAGTTTTTCTTAACAGTGCTCAAAATACGGCTGAAAGTCAAAAATTTGCACTAAGTGGTCAACTCGGCGAAATAAGCACATTTGTACAAAAAGTGGCAGTGTTAAAAAGTTTAGAACAAATGTCATTTTTTTTAGTTAGGTATGCTGAGAAAGCCTGAAACACACACTATTCCATTGAAAGTTTGAATTTTTTCGGAACAATATGGCGAAAAGTCAAAAAATTTGCACTAAGTGCTCAACTCGGCGAGATAAGCACATTTTTTCAAATACTGACAATGTTAAAATGTTGAGTCCAAATGTAAATTTTTGTTAGTTAGGCAAGCTGAGATAGCCTGAAACAAACAATATTCCATTGAAAGTTTGATTTTTTTCGGAACAGTACTCGAAATAATGCGGAAATAAGTCAAAAAAGTGACAATATTTAAAAGTTGAGTCAAATTGTATTTTCTTTTCTTAAACACAGTGAAATATCCTCAAACTCACACTATTCCATTCAGAGTTTGTAGTTTTTCTTAACAGTACTCGAAATATTACTGAAAGTCAAAAGTTTGCACTAAGTGCTCAACTCGGCGAGATAAGCACTTTTGTTCAAAAAGTGACAATGTTAAAAAGTGGAAAACAAATGTAATTTTTTTAGGTAGGCACGGTGAGATAGCCTGAAACACACACTATTAAATTGAAAGTTTGATATTTTTCGAACAATACTCAAAATATGGCGGAAGTAATCATAGTCTTGTTGTACAGCAATAGTTGAATGTTCTTTTGTGGTTTTATAATCCAAGTAGGCATTTCACCAATTTGTTGATTGGTGTAGCTGGCTCGACCTTGATGCCAATTATGATTTGTTTGTGTTATTTCATAATTTTCAAATGAAGTGTAAAGATCAGATATGATCATCCATTCTTCACGCTCTGTGTTAACCTGTGAGAAGGGAGACTTTCTAGTTCTTGTTGACTTTGAATGACAGTTTGAAGTTTATCAAACCAGTTTGGTACATTGGTTTCTGCATATTGTGTTTGTAGAAATTCTTGCCATTTAGTAATAAATACTTCTTCACATGGTTCTTGATTGTCCCATGCATTATTTTGGGTTTCTCTCCAAGCCTTATATCTTAAGAGTTGATATTTACAATACGAGGCAAAATATGCTCCTTTCGGATTAGCCGAATAAGTAGGAAAGATACGAGGAATATTGTCTGGTAGTTTTGTCAGATTTCCATTGAGAACTTTGTATTTTGTTGTAAATTCAATAAAGTTAAGATTGAGTATCGCTGGTGAGTTGTCATATTGATAGCATAAATATCTAGAGGCGAGTTGCCTGTACATCTATTAGTACTATTTTCAAGAGATGAATTCATTTGTACTCTACGGGAGCCATTAAGACTAACAGGAATAACTTTGAATGATGAAGAATATAATTTCAATCCTAATAAATGATGCATTGTTTCTTGAGCAGCATAATCTCTCTGACCATGCTCTGACCAAGGGTTTTCATTACCACTTTTTTCATAACTTTGTGTGGATCACTGTTACTATTTGGACAATGGAATTAAATGCTTGTGTAAGTACTGGTGACCTTGGTTCCCCTTTAGCTGCATATTTTGTGAGGTATTCAACACATGCATAGTGATCAATAACAATTTGAATATCACAGTTTGCTCTCCATCCTTGTAGCTGTATTTGTTGGTGGTTGTTCAGTCTGGGATCATTTCTCTTAGTGATAAGCTTTGCTCTCTATTGTGGATCACCAATAGTGTTAACTTGTTCAAATTCTATTTTTGTTTGTGAACAATATTCAAATGGAAAGTGAAACCTACATTTTAACACAGATTCATTATGCTTTTTTTCCCGCAGACAATAATTTGTACTACAGCGAGTATGTCGTTGAACAGTATTTAAGATATCTATGTAATCAGAACTTACTTCTGAATTATCAATATCTTTATAAGACCTCTTGCATGGATGTACTTGGGGCCTAATCCATGTGTCTATTTCTGGTGGGTTTGGATTGACAGTTGATATTTCTGGTGGGTTTGGATTGACAGTTGATAACAACCAATCAACATACTGGGAAGCTATGTCAGCAGCTTTCTTGCCAGCTTCAATATCTTGATTTAGTTCTTTTGTATCAATGTCATGTTGAGTCTTATATTTTGTGCCATAAAACCTTTCAAGGCAATCTTAGTCAGGGTCATTTTTTAGTTTAGCAGTTCCATGGCAGTGTATACTACCTCTACTTTGGTATTCATATCTAAACCAATGCCATTTTGCATCAAGACTATTGTACAACCAGTGCTTAATGAAGCTTTCTAGTCTTTGAGTAAATAACCAATCAACAAGATTTGGATTTTGTAGTAAATTTTGCTGTCTAATTTCACTGGTACTTCTGTTGTTCTGTCCAAAGAGAGAATAAAGTTCAGGCCAATGCATGTCAGCTGATGAAAATGTAAAGAATATTGTTGGTCCTGTTTAACCTTATGCCAATAAGCATTTGAGCCAGAAAGATTAGCAACATACCTAGATACCTTGGACATAAATGCAGAAGAATGCTGGAGCGCTTAGATGAAAGATGTTGCACTCTCGTCAGGTCTTCTCTATAAACAAGTTCTGCGGTGATGGCAACATTCTGGGATTCCTGGTACAGCAGCTCCAGCATCAAATAGAATTGAAGTTTGGCTGAAAGAAAATATTTACAAAACATATTCAGGGAGATGCATGCAAACACATATCATCGGTAACTTGTATCATTACCAATTTGGGAAGGAAATATCAGTACAAGTGTTTGGAATAAACATAATATTACCATTAGGTAGGTCTGCCATTAGATCAAAAGAATTGCGACCAAACCCGATTTCAAATGTTACAGTACATTTTGGGTGTTATTATCATTATATTCCAAGCATTATTATCATAACATCATAATCATTTAAAAATCAGTTCTTACCACGTCGACCTTTGCGGTTCAGTCGGTTGTGGTAACCTTCCAAGTCATTGTTTGTGCGTGTGGCTTGAGCGAATACTGACCAATCAGTTGGCGTGAAGGTATTGCCTTCTACCCATGTTGTCCGCATGTACATCAAGAGCTCACGTACTGGGGCTGCATCTCCTGCATTCCGCTGCAGGTAGTCAAAAATCGGAGTGATGTGCTCCACAGGCAACAATGGCAGTGCCATCAACTGTCTCAACAACTGAAGGGGAAAGGTAAGTGATATGATATATTAGTACTCATTAAAAAACAAAAATACAATATATGATAATGGTAATTTAATATAAATGTTGATTTGTCAAAAACAACTGAAGAGTTCAACCTGCTATAGCGAACAATATGCCAGCGTGTACCCACATCAGGTAAGGAACCATGGACGGCATATGACGGGCTTGGGCGAATACATGAAATGAAAGCAAATATGTATAATCAATTTAGTTTTAGTAAGTGATGTAACGTAGAGTTAAATTTTTTAAAAGTTTAGACGAAAACAAGCAGAAAAAAAAGTCATTTTGAGATTAGTCTTACCTCGTGTGTGCCAGCATCATTACCATATGCGCGTTGCAGGCCGATTTCTTGTATCTTCCTGAAGACACACTATAATGATCAACATAAGGTTAATTAGTAGAAAAAGTAGAAGAAAAATATATCTATATATATATGTGTATATATATATATCTATATATATATACACATATATGCATACATACATACATATATATATTTAATGTATATACATACATACATATATACATTATATATGTGTGTACATATATAATAGTGAGTGTGAAAAAATATATATATACCTGCGTAAAATGGAATAAGCACCCAACTATTGTTGCATCCGGAAAGAGTCTCCTACATGCCTGCCAAATAGATGCTTCGTAGTCGGCAACGATTTTAGTGACAGCATATTCTGGTAGTAGTTCAATGACAGCTTCCAACACAGCTACATAGTCTTCCATTCGACGAGAAGACATCATCGCAAAGGTAAGCGGCACTTGTTTTATGCATTCGTTGCATTTAACAAAACTGTGAATGCTGAAAAGCTGCATGAACGGTTCTTTTACCAGTTTGAATGTGGCATCAAGGTACCTGCAAGAAATCATAGGGTACTTACATGTATAATTTGCAGTGAATCAGAATAATGTGCTTGGTTTAAAAAACCTGTTTTTTATCACTGCCCTTTAAACCTGAATGTTTATGATTTAATTTACAATTACAATTTGACCAATCCCATGCCTTTAAAGTGATCCAATAATCAATAAGTAATGTATACCAACTGAATGTATACCAAATATTTATCCCTTGAATTCAGCTTTACTCACCAATTTCTTGCCCTGCGAAGAAGGGTTAACATTTGGTCGGTTGCAAACACCACATGACGTTGTTGATCGACATGGACATCCTTCTTAAAGAAATCTGGAGGAATGTGATCATGGTCTAAAACAAACTGTAAATCCAGTGGATGATTCGGTCTTGTTAACTTGCGTTTTCGGTTCGCTTGCTGGCAAAGGTTAACTGGTTTTGGAAGCGTAGGATGGACAGTAATATTGCCAACTCCAATATCTTCTTGCAGCGCGTTCTCCACTATTTCTGCTGCTGAAGTAAATGGGTTTTCTGTAGCCTTTACCTTGATACCTCTGCGCATTTTAGCTACATTTTCTCGTCCTAAAAAAAGTGATAACCAATGTGCAAATCTGGCCGTATAAAAATTTGCCTGGCCGTAACGTTTGAAAAATCACGGCAAAACTATATTTGGCCGAATTTGGCCGAATTTTTGAATTTAAATTTTTTTTTCAATACAGGCCTAATATAACAGACTTGTTTTGGATGTGTTGTTTTTGTTAGTTTAAATTCTATATTGGATTCTAATCACAGTGGCGGATCCAGGGGGTTCAGGTGGGGGGTTCGTTTTCCCCCTCTGTGAAGAAACGTAACAAAATACTATGGGTCCTGGCTTACGAAATTCATGCTAATTAGATACAGACATTCGCCCACTTCGCCCAGGCGAAGGTCAGGGTAAAAATTCAAAATAAAATGTTGACCATTTTTTCCAACAATCATACTTACTTTCCTTGACACTTATTTTTAACATTACCAATAGAAAAATGTTTAAAAATCCACACTATCCTATACCTTACTTTTAAACTGATTGTACTGTAGGCCCTACCAGAGAGAGAGGTACATTCCCAATACATTATAGTCTTCCACTTCTATAGCACATGATCTGTCTCTTATACACATGTATATATATAATATATATAGATATATATATATATATATACAAACTATACCGACTTGTACCTTTACTTTATTATGTAATAAGAATATATAAAGTCGCTTTAACTGGCATAGCTCCACATGTGTGCCCTTGCAGTCCCTTAATGTACAGGCCATTTCTCTCGATTATGCTTGCCTTGCACGTTGTGTGTTTGTTCCGTACACAACAGCGCCAGTTGATGTTGGATCGCCTTTTGTCTACCTTCTGAGTGTACTGGTAACCATCACTGTCAACCAAGGTTTCCTGTGGAAAAGTCAAACCATATTACCAATCAGATTAATCATACAGTTATCAATTAACAAGTCACATAGCTATACCAGGGAACAGTGAAATTTTTTACAAGTATAGGATGATTATCATACAAAATTATCATTAAACCATAAACAAATGAAGTTACCTGCCCACGACTGCTTGTTCTTGGGAGACGGGTGTATTGCACAGGTCTCCCAAAGTCTGCTGGCTCAGCATCTGGCTGGGGCGGGGGGTAGACGTCCTCCAATTCCGGCTCCAAATGTTGTTCAGGTTCCTGGAACTCGCCAATGTCATTAGCGTACATGTCATGTAGCCCAATGTCTTCTCGGCAGGCCCTACACGCCCATTCGAGTCGACCTTCGCGCAGAGCAGCACGATATTCGGCGCGAGACACTCCCGTGCCGCAGGTTCTGTGCTGCCATTGCTGGCACCCATCGCACTGTAATGCTTCTTGTTCGTCAGTGACTTCTTGATGGCAAGCAAGACATTCCTCCATACTGATATTTCTGAATGTGTATTTTAAAACTTCTGTACCCAATTTATAGAAGACGAGCGCGAAAACTATGCGCGTTGATTGGTTGGCAAGTAAGAAACTAGTCACGTTGCCATTGTTTACTAGTTTTCAAAAGCGAGATGACACAATCGCACACATCCATTGTGCTTCTTTTCCTTTACGAGCATCAGTTTGCCGCTCACGCGCCTTGCCATTGTTCTAAACTATTTCACTTTGCGTGCATCAAGTGCCGCTCGCAAGTTCATCATCATCATCATCATCATCATCATCATCATCATCATTTAAAAGTTTGTATTTTATCTGTATGTATAGAAGAAGTGTTTCTTTTATAAAATGTTGACACTAACTGTTATTCCAACCGGACAAATTGAAATTCAATCTGATCTGAAGGTTTTTTTTAAATATTTATTCCATTTAAGCGCTATTACAGCGCCCTGACAATAAGACATACAAGTAATTCAAAATTCAAAAGTCAATCACAAGAAAGGACAGACACCCCGCCCCAAGCATTATTTCCACACAACTATAATCAAAATGTAAACTAAAAATACATTCCTATCTATTCGATTCACGTATTAAGACAGACCTACGTTATCAGCTCCAAATTACGAGAGCAATGAAGAAGAAAAAAGGAAGAAACATATATATATATATATATATATATATATATACTGTATATATATATATAATTATAATACATAATATTTCATTTCATTTGAATATATGATGATGTAGATAAAATATATATTGTTTGTATACGACTATGCAAAACGAAAATAGAACACGTGTGATAAACCGACTTACGAACTTACGATTCACTGTTCCCTGCGTTGAGACATATTCCAAATGAACCTGTTATATTTTTCGTAGAAACAAAATAAGTATAGACCTAGTATAGGCGTATATGAAAAAGGGAATAAAAAGGAAGACCACAACACAACGAAAACTAAATAAACGTATGATTAAAACGATTGCCGAACTTACGATGATATAGGCCTAGGTATATTCCAACTTATTAAGTAGACCTACCTAATATATTGTATATCACGTGGAAGCAAATATGTATATATGAAACGCAACAAACAGATGATCATATAGGCCTATATAACATATACCAAATTCTATTCTATTCGTATTTAACGTTATGTAATTAAAATCATTAAATCACTTTGAAATTAAGACCATAATCGGAATATATCGGAATATAGGCATATTTCATAAATTGAGTAACTTCATAAATTGAGTAATCTATTTCATGTTAAAGCAAAATAGTAAAATTGTCAAAAAGTTATAGCTGTAATAACTGATCATATTCATTGATTAAAAGGGCTTTCAATATTAGACAGTTCCGCCCATTACCTAACAAAGGGCTGAAAGTTCTCCTTTTCGTTTCATTATGTTCTTAAGCTTGTTTATTGGTATTTTAGCACTTAATTTAAAAATACAATACGTATTGAAATACACGCCATCTTGTAGGGATCACTGAATCACCGACACTAAATTAAGAACCCTATTAAATTTCCTGTAACTCTTCTTCTGGAATATGCTTATGCAATATGATAAAAAGTTTGATTTTGATAAGTAATAATATTATGTTAATGAAAACAAAACGAAAATAACTAGGCACATAAATAACTAGGCATATATAACTATACACATATATATTATATATTATATAAGCAAAATATAGTACATATATATACACATGTATATACATATATATATAC